GCAAATGTGTCCGAGCGTGTTCGTTCATTGAGTGGTGAAAACGACTACGTGACAGAGTGCGACGGGTGTTTTTCGAAAAACAGGAAACGCAGACGGTGCAATACGGCCCTGAGAGATCGCGGCGAGGTCGAATATAAAGCGGCGGAGGCTCAAACCGAACGACGCCCCCGCTACTCCGACGCTCGAAATAGCGTCGCGACGTCCACACACGTGCTCTCCTCCACTAACGCACGGAATTCAGAGACGCGAGTACGGCTGGCGAATTATTACGCTGGATTACGCGCACTCGGACGTGCACGGTCAGTCAGTGAAGGGGGAATATTCGTCGGCGAAGATAAACGGAAACAGAACTATTGCGCAATAGTTCCTTTATTCGCGAACTTTCCCGGATTACGAGAAAAAAAATCTAGAAATTCATTGAAAAACTCGACGACTGTGTGTGGTGTGATTATTCTACTAGTTTGTTTGGTACTACAAGGAAATATTGTATCAAAGTGATTTTATACAAAGTGTTTGGCATTACGATAAAAATTTATTAATAAATCAACGTGATACGTGACTTCTCGAACTGCGAAAGCATTTGCATTTGACACGTGCGCCTGATATGATGACCATAAATTACAAGCTCGATTTTTCCTCGCAGTTGCATCGTATCTTTACGATCCTATTCGATCCCCGAAGGTTTTCAAATGAGACTCGTGGAAAATAAACAGGCGCAGGCGAATCGATGACGACTACTCAACCAAGACTAAACACCGTTTCTCGGTAACGTCTAGAGATCGATAAACAAATGAATAGTGTAGAAAGGCGTAATTTCTCGCGTTCTGTCGTCGGACGATCGTATCATGCTTATCCTCCATGATAATAGGTTTCCTTTGAAAATTGTCACAACAGCGTGCCATCAATCAAACTCGAGCGCGGAACTTTTCAAACTTCCCGATAATGTTCGTTCGCGTTTTCGACCGCGCAGAGGAGTTGAAGCTTAACTTACCGGTGAGTTTATCGCGAATCAACTTGCAGCTCTCCACCTCGCCTATGCTCGAGAAGAGAGATCGAATCTCATCCTGTGTCATGCTCTGTGGCAAATAATTTACAATGAGATTCGTCTTGGATTCTTCCTGCGAGGCCTGCCCGAGGGTGGCTCCACCATTTTGTTGCACGACTGTGTCCATTCCGTTCGCCATCATTGCACTCTTCTACCGAGTCCTCTCTAACTACGTACGAAATCTGAAACAAGAGAAATGTGCTTTTATCGTCGCGCGCAACGGATAGGTGGTATCTTTCTTCTTAGTTCCTCTATTCCGTGAAAATCATTTCGTTCTCCGTATTTCTCTCTGTATTCTCTTGGATCAGCATCGACAATTGTCAATCGTTCGGCGTCTAACAACCGATGATACATTCTAAATACACCTCTTTCTATGGTGCAATCGATCACCTTGTTGTTTATTTATCGCAAAGGGAAATAAGTGTGTTACTTGGGAACTCAAGAGACAGCGACGCTCAACCTCACTGGAAATGTTTCTCGAACATGTTTTGTAAAATTGTAATAAATTCCTGACTTCTATATCGACGATTCGTGGCTTTGAATTTTGCATTCTTCTTTCCTCCCTCCTTTTTTTTTTTTTTTTTTTAAGCGAAATAATTGTTCGAACAACAATACGAGTATCTCGCTAGAACACACGTCGATGTTAGGTTATCGAAACGATCGACGAGGAAGAACACAGGAAGAAACAGGCAAGTATAAACACGGGATGTCGTCGGAATTTTGAAGGACGTAAAAACGCTTGTTAATCAACACGCTGTTAACACGATGCACAAGCTTCTTACGGTACTGAGAACACAAGTTCGAAGAGAAAATCGGTTTTTGCTCATTTACAAGTATTTACATGGCAACGAAAACATTATCACCAGCGGAGACAAAACATTATAAATGTTTCTTGATATACGAATTATAAATACGATTGTCCAAGTCGATTTCGTTTACGTTCGAGGGTTTTTCAAGTGTTTAGAAAAGTTTCTTTCTTTCTTTCTTTCTTTCTTTTTT